AGAGAGAAAGCCAGAAATCACCCCCAGGGGGGATGGCCACAAGACAATCCTCTCTCTTCCATTCTCCCCTCGGGACTTTGGGCATGCATGCATACATGCCCAGTGTGTTTAAAGCTGCCAGGTCTGGGACTCGAACTGTGGTCAACTATGGTCCAGTGATGTAACCATCACACTATCTGCTGGTCCCACGGATACATTCTTTTCTCTCCACTTTCTCTATGAGTTTGTGAATTCTCTCGCAGTCCGTGATCAAGGTCACCCTGATGAAAACCACATCAGTTACATGTGCGTGCATGTTGGAAATCTCAGAGAAGAATAGAAGAGAAGGGATTGCAGCATGACCATCCCCTTCGGGGGGTAATTTCTCATCCCTACCTTCACTCCCACCCCATCTCTCTCTCAGATCAATGTTAGGTTGTTAAAATAACTAAGTGGGGGGTGAAGTTTGGAACCAGCATGTTACAACCGTTACAGTGCTAGACTCCCTTACACTGCTAGACTCCCACGTAGTCGACCGCAGTTTGAGTCTAGGACCTGGAGGCTTAAAACCCATGCTGGGTGTGTGTGTGTACATGCCCAAGATCCTAAAAGGAGAATAGAAGAAAAGGGATTGTGATGCGGCCATCCCCCGGGGGGTGATTTCTCACTTTCTGTCTCTCTGTCTCTCTGACGAGTGTACACTCTCCATACCAAAAATCTCAAAAAATATATAATAATAATAAAATAAAATAATTAAGGTGGAGGGCAGCAGGTGGCATGGTTTTTGAGGCACTGGACTCCCACATGACTGACTACAGTTCGAGTCCCAGACCTGGTGGCTTGCTTTCTCACTTTCCCTCTTTCTCTTTCTGGTCAAATTTAAAAAATAATAATAAATAAAATGAAATAAATAATTCTTAACAAAATAGAATCAAAGTTTAAAACATCATTCAAAAAATACTAACGGCGGGGACCAGCAGTTAACGTAATGGCTATGTCACTGGACTCCCATATAGCCAACCACAGTTTGAGTCCCGAACCCGGTGGCTTAAACTCACACTGGGCGCGTGTGCGTGCATGCCCAAGATCCCGAGAGGAGAATGAAGGAGAGGGGATTGCGGCATGGTCATCCGCCCTGGGGGATGATTCCTTGCTTTCTGTCTCTCTGTCTCTCTCTATCTATCTGGAGAGTGCACGCGCCCTATAGCAAAAACCTCTCCAAAAACAAAAACAAAAACCCCAAAAAACTAAAGGCATCTGGATGGCAGCAGTAATATGTGACATTCTTGGAACCCACAGGGTTCCTGGTTCCTGTTGCTGGTTCCTGTCCACAGACCCCTCTGAGTATGCATGTATGTGTCGTCTGGTCTGGGCAAGGTTTGGGATGGATTGCAGCATGGGGTCCCTGTCTGGGGTGCTGTATCTCTTTCTCCTGTCAGTTTGTGGAACAAATAAACTTTTTTGTTTTTAAAATTTTCCCCTTTATTCATAAAAGAGAGCATGCACATGATAGAGAGAAAAAAGACAGAAAGATGAGCGCCCTTCACAGGGTCTGATCACGCCGCTACCTGCTTCCTCGCGCCCTCCAGTCCAATGGAACCTGGGTATTCATACACCTGCTGGCCTTTTTACTTTCCCTCTCTGGTCAAATAATAAATAAATAAATAAATCTTTTAAATAACGACTAAGTATTCAATTTGAACAGGATCCCAATAACCAAACACAGGACAATCTGCTCACCAATAAACTTAGTAATTTATAATTTAGTAATGATACTAACACATACATATACACAAAAGTTTAAATGATAAATTAACCTTTGTCTACTTAAGAACTAAAAAACTTTATAATATTTTCTCCATTATATTTTGTATTTTTTAGATCTTTTACTATATGGCATGTGCTCTTGCTGGAGAGAGACAGAGAGAGAGGGAAAGTGAAAAGTCATCCCCCAGGAGGATAGCCACGCTGCAATCCCTTGTCCTGCATTCTCCTGTCAGGATTTTGGGCATGTGTGCACATGTGCCTGGTGTGATTTTTCAAGGTGCCAGGTCCGGGACTCAACCTATGGTCAGTCATGTGGGGCCCAGCGTCTTAACCACCACGCCACCTACTGGCCCCCATTAAGGTAGTTTTCTTTTAGAGAGGTTTTTGCTATAGGGCACATGCGCTTGCCAGAAAGCCAGAGACAGAAAGTGAGAAATCGCCCCCCGTGGGGAATGGCCACGCTACAATCCCTTCTCCTCCATTCTCTTCTCAGGGACTTGGGCACACACGCGCACACACACCCTGCGTGAGTTTTAAGTCTCTAGGTACAGGACTTGAACCATGGTTGAGTGAGAATTCAGTGACATAACCATTATGCCGATCTGTTGGTCCTCCATTTACGTAGTTTTGATACATCTCATTTTCTTTCTTTTTTTTTAAAAAAAAATAGTTATTGGGGCTGGCAGGTGGCATGGTGATTAAGGGCGCTAGACTCCCACATGGCCGACCAGTTTGAGTCCCAGACCTGGCAGCTTGCTTTCTCAAGGTCCCTGCAACCTTGCAGCTTACAGTAAGTCAAGGAACAGTGTATATATAATGCAGTAATTACATTAAAATGTACTCAGTGTGGGTCTGGTAGGTACTATGGAGGTTGAGGCACTGTACTCCCACATGAACGACTGGGGTTTGAGTCCCAGATCTAGCAACTTGTTTTCTTATTTTCCCTCTCTCTCTGTCGAACTCTGGTAAATTAGAATAATAATAATAATAAATAAGATTAAATGAATAATTCTTTTTTTCTTTTTTGGAGAGATTTTTGTTATAGGGTGCGTGTGCTCGCCAGAAAGACAGAGAGATAAAGAGACAGAAAGCAAGAAATCATCCCCCAGGGGGGATGGCCACGCCACAATCCCTTCTCCTCCATTCTCTTCTCAATATCTTGGGCACGCAGGCACATGCGCCCGACATGAGTTTAAGCCACTGGGTCTAGGACTCGAATTGCGGTCGACTATGTGGGAGTCCAGCAATGTAGTCATTACATCATCTGCTGGTCGTGAATAATTCTTTTTTTAAAGAATAATTTTATTTAACTTTATTTATTTATTTTAATTTGATCAGAGAGGAACAGAGTGGCAGTGGGGGAGTGAGAAAGCAGGCCACTAGGTCTGAGACTCAAAGTGCGGTCAGCCATGTTCGGTAGGAGTTCAGTGCCCTTAACCAGCACGCCACCTGCTGGCCCCAATAATTTTTTTTTTTTTTTTTTTTTTTTTTTTTGCTATAGGGCAAGTGCGCTTGCCAGAAAGACAGAGAGAGACAGAAAGCAAGAAACCACCCGGGGGATGGCCATTCTGCAATCCCTTCTCCTCCATTCTCCTCTCAGGATCTTGGTCATACATGCACACGCACGCGGCGTAAGTTTGAGCCACCAGGTTCAGGACTCGAACTGCAGTCGACTATGTGGGAGTCCAGAGACATGGCCATTATGCTGACTGCTGATCCCCCAATAATTCTTTTTAAAAATTTTAATGTATTTATTTTAATTTGACCAGAGAGAGATAGTAAGAAAGCAAGCCACCAGGTCCAGGACTCAAACCCTAGTCACACATGTGGGAGTCCAACACCTTAATCACCACATCATCTGCTGGCCCTGGACTGCTTGTTTAATACTATCATTTCAGTTCTCCAAACTGAATTAAAAAATATTATTTATTTTATTTATTGTTACTATATATTTTAATTTGATCACAGAGAGAGAGAGAGAGCAGGAAAGTGAGAAAGCAAGCACCAGGGCCTGCTCCAAGAGTTATCCCACTGTCCACATGTGGGAGTCCAGCGCCTTAACCACCAGCCTCCTGCCAGCCCCACCTAAATTCTTTTCGACAAAATTCTTAAAACAAGGGCTGGCAGGTGGTGTGGTGGTTAAGGCGCTGGAATTCCCACATGGTGGACTACGGTTCAAGTCCTGTACCTGGTGACTTTCTTTCTCTGTCTTTCTCTGGCAAAACTCATGTGGGAAAAAAAAAATTAATTAAATAATTTTTTAAAACTCTTGAAACAACAAACATACTAAACATCTACTGGTGTGCCACACGTGTTAACATCTGCATAAAATTCTAAGGGAGATTAGCAATATAAAAATCATTTTATCTGATGACGCGATTATTTTGGATTTTCTATGCCTAAAATAATACAAATTTAGTACCATTTGTCAGCACAGGTAATCTGAAAAATAATCTGATGTCCCTTGACTCTTTACATCCCCAGCATTTTACAGTATTCTGAACAGGTTATGCCAGCAACATCAAAACGCCCTGACCAGTGTCAGAGTCCTGGAAGGCAGGGTCTGAACGTAGCCTGTGCACCCTTAAAGTGCCAGCTACGGGCGCCGCTCCACCTGGCGTCACGCTAGTACACGCCGAAGCGCATCTCGGCCTTCCTGTCTACTCCTATAGATCCCACGTTTATCTAGCATTTAGCATATATATGCACATATCTGCCTTTATGTATGTATGCCTCCCCCTAACCCGATGCATCTTTTAGGAAACGACTGCAGCTCGCCACCCTCCCATGGGATCACCTTAAAAGAGGCGGTCCCTCCAAATCCGTACATTTATCTCACAAGCCGAAATTCCAGTCGTAAATGTAGGGGACGGCCTCGTTGACCTTGGGGCCCGATTTCCCTCCCACTCTTAGCAGTCTGGTTTATTCCACGGGGTGGAGAAGGAAGCCAGGCTGGCTGGGTGGGAAGAGAATGGCGTCAGTGTGAGGTCACGCTACATTGTCCCGAATGCCATCTCCACACCGCGGTGACATGAACGTAGGACTGGAGGATGCGGCTGGCGCAGCGACAGGGGCCCACGCCGGGCAGACCACCAGCAAACAGTGGGCTGGAAACAGAACAAAGCAGGGAAGCCGGTAGGGCGTGTCAGGACACCTGGGCGCGAGCCCGGGTGCCCGCAGACAGGGAAAGCGGGGAGAGCGGGGCCGAGGCCCGGCAGGATGGGGGCGGGACTTCCGGAAGCCATTTGCCTGAGTGGCAGGCGAACCGGAAGTGGAGGCGCTGGTGCTGGGGCCCGAGGAGGGACGCGCCGGAGCGGGGCCACAGGGACAGAGCGAGCTACAGACGCGCCACCCGCCCACGCCGCAGCCGCTGGGGGCCCTCACGGACCCTTTACCCGAGTGAGTGCATCTAGGGTAGCGGGGAACCCGCGGCCTAGAGGCGGGGGTAACGGGGGGCTGTGAGTGTTATTGTGAGAGGCCCGCGACCTCCCCTCCCC